TGGTACCGGCCTACCTCTAGCCTACCGCTACTGGGCCTCTAAAAATGCCAACTTTTTGTCTTCTTCTGCTCGGCCGCCAGTACCCGACACTTCTAGCACTACTTGAGTGGTACCGGCCTACCTGCTACTTGTGTGTTTTTCCCCTCTGCTCTAAGTGTCGCGGGCCTACCCCCGCTACTCGAGTGTTTTCCCCGGTGCAACCCTCAAAGTCACGACCACAGGTAAGTACCGGCCCTGCGGGGCCTTTCAACCAACAAGTACCCTTGCGGGTCACACACACACTCAGCCGGCAAGCACTCAGACAGGCATGCAAACCAGCAGGCACGCACACACACACAGACATGGAAATGACAGCAGAATGCGGGAATCACAGCAAGGCATTCATTCTGGCGGCAAATCCCAGAAATCAGCAGTATTCTCAGTCTGTGTTTTTGGCAGGTCATTACACCTGCCTCATGAGTATACGGGAACGGGAACTTGGTGCATGAGCCTCGTCGTATGGACCAGAAACCTCTTCGTATGCACCAGCCTGGATGAGGCACTGTCGTACGGACGAGGTACCTGCCTAGTTCCCGCGAGTAGACCGCAACAGGAACCTGGTGCACGAGCCTCGTGAGTATACCAGACCAGGAACCTCTTCGTATGCAACCGCTTGGTTGAGGCACTATCGCACGAGCCTCGTGAGTAGAGTGGAACGGGAACCATGTGGATGTGCATACTCACCACACACACAAAGACAAAGAATATAGTGGTGTATCTTCCCATGTTGTAGCGGAATATTCATTCTCGTTTTGCGTATTTGGTGAGTAGTGGAGCGATGCCCCTATGTTTGCGATTTTGGCGCCGGACATGTGGATGTGCATGTGTGGAGATGGGAAATTACTTTTTTGTCCCTGCTTTTCGGTTGCTGTGAGAAATATGGCAGAGTTTTTTTTTGGTTGTTGTTGTTTTGTCCGGGAGGCTGGAGCTCAATTAATTAGACAGAGTGATAAGTTTTCAAAGTGTTGAAAATGCGCTTGTACATGAAAAATGTGCTTCGAAAAAATTGGTTAAAAAAACTCCAATCCATATATGATTTATAATATTATATAACTTTGTCATGATGTTTCTTGTGCCATTTTCTGAATTATTTGTACGTGGCATTTTGCAGTCTCCTTCGCAGGGTTTTGGAAACTGGGCATGCCGAGGACGTGCTCGCTCGCATCCTTGTCTGGAAAAATCGATCGATAGCCCGTCATCGATTTCTCCTTATCCCATGGCAATCATGGTTTTTGCAGCGGCAAAATTTTGTGAACTGGTACAGCAGTGTGGGATCGGGCCATGTTGATGCCTCCCCCGCGCGTTGTCTGATGTGGTCGTCCCTGGCTGCTTTCTTGGGCTGTGAGACATTATGGAAAGGGGAGCCTTAGGCCCAAATAATTCTGTACATCAACGGAAAAACATGAAGGCTGGAGATCCTGCCAAGTCTGAAAGGTACATATGTACGTGTGTCTTATGCCGTTGTTTTTTTTTTTTCTTTTTTATTTCTTAAAAAGTTATGGATGAAGACCGATTTCACGGTTTACCGACGGAAAAGACCAAGCGTGTTTACATATTGCCCATAGGGGCAAGGGTGTTTTTTTGCTTGCCTACGGATATGAAATTTTCAAGGGTGTTTTTTTGCTTGCCTACGGATATGAGATTTCCAGAAGTACTCAGCCACACAAAGTGGATGCTGGACAAGGACTCAAATGAAACACCCGAAGGGCGTACTCACACTAGGATTTTCTGAGACGTATCTGACTTCAAAGACTGCCAGATCCGTTTCACATGACCTGAGGCATTGCTGGAAGTCAATCTGGGAAATGAACTTCTTTCTGCTCAAGCCATTTGAACCTCTGCTACGCCTGACCACGAACGTGGTCTGTACTGGTATATATGCTGAAGCTATGGGCACGTTTCACCGTACCGGGTGCAGGGGGGGTGCCAATGGGCACTGCAATATTTTTGTGTGTGCCCACTTGGGTGATATGTATGTTCTCTCTCTCTCTCTCTCTCTCTCTCTCTCTCTCTCTCTCTCTCTCTCTCTCTCTCTCGCTCGCTCACTCTCTCTCTTGTGTGCATGTGCTCACGCGCAGTTGTCCCTCTGCTCTTTAGATGTGGCGGTGCCCAAGCTACACTTCGGTTTCAACTTTCCTCTCGCTGCCTCTTTTGCATTCTGTCACTATTATGGAATGGTGGGTGTGCGTGCTACTACCGCTACTCACCCACAGTTTCGCCTTCAGTAAGCGGTGGTGCTACTATCTCTCCTTTGACTTGACTTGACTTCGATCCTTTGGTTTCACATTTGCAACCCTATACCTCCCTTCCCCTTTCTCTCTCTCTCTC